GTATTAACAAGTTATTGTCACCACCTTCTAGTAGCCCCAATCATAGGCTAGTTAGGGAGGCAGGTGAGGAGTACTATGGTGCAACCAAGTGTTGTACATTCCATAGCAGACAGTTTTCCAGGCACAGTGGAGGCACCCAGAATCAGCAGTCTCTATGTGGGTGAAGGGTATAGAATGCGAAAAAGCTAGCTGTATAATGTGCCTAGGTGTGGGATTCAGGCTTGATGTGGAAGGAAAAACAGTGTGAGATGGTCAAGGAAAAAATAGGTAGTAGGAACCAGATCATGGAGCCTTGTCAACCATGCCAGTGTAGATGGGGAGTTTCAGACATTATCACTTTTGCATTCTAGAAAGATGTCAGAAGATGAAAGAATAGACAAGAACTGGGCTAAGACTGAGGGCAGAGGGCCAGCCCATCGTTTGGTGATTAAAGTGGCTGCCTTGAAGAAACATCCTGGGCACATGTGCATGCATGCCCAAAATCCCAAAAGGAAATCGAACTACGAGCTTTGTGTACCTTTCTGTGTTGTCGTTCAGGTCCTCTAGCACAGAGGGAGGTAAGGAGGTCTGCAGGCAATGCCCTGGCAGGCATATAAGAGACTTAGCTTTTAACTTCTTATTTTTTAAATTTATTTGTTTAGTCATTCATCACAAATATATTTGTTCTTACTAAATTTGAACAGGAATAGTACAAAGTACAGGGGGTATTAACAAGTTATTGTCACCACCTTCTAGTAGCCCCAATCATAGGCTAGTTAGGGAGGCAGGTGAGGAGTACTATGGTGCAACCAAGTGTTGTACATTCCATAGCAGACAGTTTTCCAGGCACAGTGGAGGCACCCAGAATCAGCAGTCTCTATGTGGGTGAAGGGTATAGAATGCGAAAAAGCTAGCTGTATAATGTGCCTAGGTGTGGGATTCAGGCTTGATGTGGAAGGAAAAACAGTGTGAGATGGTCAAGGAAAAAATAGGTAGTAGGAACCAGATCATGGAGCCTTGTCAACCATGCCAGTGTAGATGGGGAGTTTCAGACATTATCACTTTTGCATTCTAGAAAGATGTCAGAAGATGAAAGAATAGACAAGAACTGGGCTAAGACTGAGGGCAGAGGGCCAGCCCATCGTTTGGTGATTAAAGTGGCTGCCTTGAAGAAACATCCTGGGCACATGTGCATGCATGCCCAAAATCCCAAAAGGAAATCGAAAGAGAAGGGATTGCAGTGTGACTATCTCCCACGCGTGATGCTGGAATGCAGTGAACATGCAGTATCTCGAGTCTTTGCCCTCCTTCTCTCTGTTCGGATAAACACATGGTTCACTTCCTTCAGGTTAGTTCACAGGTTCCCCCAGCAGAGGGGGTTCCCTGGTATCTCCATGTAAAACAGCAAACCATTCCACTGTTAATCTTGCATCCCTTTATCTTCCTTTGTTCTTCTTTATTGGCTCCATAGCCATCTCAAAGAATTGATTTTATTGTCTACTCCCTCTAAACAAATAAAGCAACAGTGTGCCTCCAGCAGAATATAACCTATAGAAAAAGAGACATTGGCTGTTCCAATCTCTGACTCTTACTACCTAAAGTAGTACCTGGAATGTCTTCGGTGCCCAGTCTATAATGGTTGAATGGATGAATAGCCAAGGTGTGTCTCCAGCCTGGTATACTGGCACACTGTATGGTGACAGGTGGCTTCCTTCATGCAGGATCAAAGAAAGTTAGTGAGGAGTTGTCTTGGGAACCTTGAAGAAGTGAAGCTGGAGGTGGTCAGCGGCAGTGTGGGAGAACAGAACTCAATGAAGGTCTTGTTCAGGTGGTGGCTTCCTGAGACTCCTCAAGCCAGGCATTGCCATTCCTTGGCCATGATTTCTTCTGGTCCAACACAGAGTCATCTTACTTCCACTCCCAATCTCAGTTTGGGGAACTAGGGAACAACTAGAGTGAGTGAAACAAGCCCGAGAGTGAGCATCCTCTTCTATCCATGCCAGGAGATGCCACCTGCTATGTAACTCATTGACACAATGAACAAAGTGTCCTGACACCAGCCGCTGTTTTGTCCCTCACTGAACCTCCCAGCTCCCTGGGGCAAGAGATTCTCCTGAACCCTCCCCTCATCCTGTATGCAAAGGCTGATGGAGGCTGATTCTTGGGATTACAGAACTAGCTGCATTCTCAGGGAGTACTCCCATACAGGTGTCAGGACCATAGTAGGTAGAGAGGGATCTAGTTCAGATGTCATGGAAACTGGACTGTGGAGAAGTGGAGGAGAGAGAGGCATGGGAATAGAAAGCTTAGGGTGATGGTTCTGCCCTGGATCAGAGAACACCAATTAGTCGATAATAAGCCTGGCCTTCCCCATCTTCATGTTTTACTACTGCGGTGTAGCAAATCACCCTACAATTTAATCCTGAGTGGCTTGAAACAACTTATTTCTCAGATTCCTTTGGTTTGTTGGGCATTTTCTCTACTGGTTTCCCTTGCACTTGATGCTCATTGAAGTTCATCTGGATCTAAGATGGCCTCACGTAGCAGGCATCTCTTCATCCAAGGCACTCTTGCAGCCAGCCTTGGGACCCAGATCAACAGTGACACCAAAGACAGAACCTTAGGAAAGGGCCAGTCTGCTCTGTTTCACTGTACATGAGAAGAGAAAAATGAAATAATTAAAATAGGCTAGATGTGGGAGAAATTTCTTAACCTGTAGGGATTTGTGCACCTGGAACCACTGAGGAAGTCACAGAGTCATGCTTTCTGGAAGCTTATCGGAAACAGATGAACTAGCAATGCTCAGCCATCTGTCTGTCTTGCCTGTGGGAGCCATGCCCCCCACTCCCATAAGTAACTAGTGAGTCTCACCTTGGAGGCTGCAGAGATACATCCCTAGGGGAGCACATATCAGAATGTCTGGAGAGGTGAGGCTTCCGAGAGATCTGAGTCTTGCTAGGTGCCTGCCATCTCCCACTAGAATTTAATATGAGATGGTATTAAATGGACCTTCATTCTCCTCCAGTTAGTAATAATTAAATAGAGTCCTTTCTGCAGCTCAGGCACTCATGTGCTGAAGGACCTGGACCAATGGCCTTTATCGTCTGTGGTTCTGTAAAATAAATGAGAGACCTTGGCCTCTGTTGGTTGTGAATAGGTCAGGCTTTCCCTGGGCTGGAGCCTGGCTCATTGCCCTGCCACTGCCTACCCTAGGGAATAAGCCGAGGCTTATTCTGTTCACACCTCCCTACTGAGCAGAATCTCTTTGGTCATCGGCTTGGCTGGGCACCGAATTCTTCTCATCTGTGCCCATGTACACGTGGTATGGCTCTTGTTTGATTTGCCCTTTTAAAAACAACTTAAGCATGTTGAGGTTTCCTGTTGATCGGGGCAGCCAGAGGCTGTGACCCAACAGGGAATTGTCGGCCAATCCCTGACTCACTCGAGCTTCAGTTTTCTGTGTGTGAGCAAGCAGTGACAGCAGCCTGGCCCAGGGGCAGCTGGCGCCTTTCAGTGGATGGCAGGACACCTCGGAGCCTGTGAGGCTGGGCATCAGGGTCAGGTAGCCTTTGTAGTATGCAGTATTGGAAGAATCCTGCCATATTTGAATTAAAAATGTTCAGAAACAATTTTTAAAAATCAACTAGAAATTGTGTTGAAGCAGAAGTGGGTTCCTGGCTCTTTTCAATAAACCCACCTTTACCTTCTTTTTTTATTCTTTATTCACTGAGTGCCTTCCAGATGAACTATGTGTCCCTTGACCTAGGAGAAATCATGGTCTAATAGGGAAGAACAAAAGTCCCCAGATACTTAGAAAGCCTCTTCTAGACAGGGGTGTGCTTAGTGCCGGGGGTGTTGCTGTTGAGCTGTGTCTGGGCCTGGCAGTTCACAAAGATGTCAGAGGCTACTGCGTCCACTTTGGAGGGGCAAGATCATGTAAGTCCGTGTCCTGGCTTCGCCATTTGTCAGCTGAGTGTCCCTGGATAAGATATGTAACCTTTCTGTGCCTCAGTGTTTTTAATTTGTAAAATGAAGAAAATCACACATGACAATAACCTATTCCATAGATTTTCATGAAGATCGGATGAGTTCGTATATATAAAAAGCATGTATTTAGAACTGCTCCCTGATTTGCTAAGATCTGTGTATGAATTTGGAGCTGGGAAATGGTTGATGGTTGTTGGTCGATGCATGGCCACTGCTAGAGGATGGAGCTGCTGAAGGAGTTGGTCCTCCCTTCCCGTTAGCTCTCCTTACTGAGAGAGTGGAATGGACACTTTGTTGAGGGACCCTCCCAAACTTTTTGAGACTTTCAGAGATCCTCATTCTGGTCAGGACCCAGCTGAGGAAGCAAGATCTCATGTCCAGTAGCACAAGTCTCGGGAAGACAGAGCACTTACCAAGGGGGAAGATCAAAGGAGTTAGGTATTTATATTTGGGGCTCCTTCAGGAGTGGTGTGCTGAGCTGCCTGTTTCAGCTCATGAGAGTTGATCATTAGTATCTCTGCTCAGCTCTACACTGAGTGATGTCACATTGATAGCTCCACCACAGCAGGGATGTTTGTACTCAGGAAATCACCATATGCTTCCAATCCATCCATCCGTCTTGCCCCCTCACCCCACCTCTAGAGCCAGGTGTTAAACATTTAGCAGCATTCCCACTGGTCTCAGTGTTCTCATGTTGGCAGATGTAGACTCTTAGGACACTCCAGCCTGCCACCGAACAGTCTTCTGTTCCAGACATTGCTTGGGGTCTCTTGGTGAGTTGGGCAGAGAGACCTGTTGAGTTTGGGCTGCTTTGGTGAAGGAGCGTCTCCCTGGGTAAGGACGCCTTGAGGGTGCGTTGTTTGAATAGAGTGCTTTTAGCTTGAGAGTGCCTCAGAAGAGGTGCTGAACTCTCTAAGAATAAAACATGATGCTTCTGGTTGTTGGGCCACTCACTACCATTTTCTTTTCTTTTCTTTTTCCTTTTTCTCTTCTTTTTTTGTTTTGTTTTGTTTTCTTTTTTTTTTTACTCCTAGGTCTCAGTCAGTCTCTCCACCTCCAGTTCTCTCCCCGCCGAGGAGCCCCATCTACCCCCTCAGTGATAGTGAGACCTCAGCCTGCAGGTACCCCAGCCACTCCAGCTCCCGGGTGCTGCTCAAGGACTGGCAGCCTCGTGATCCTTCACCCCACAATCCTCAAGCTCCCTCCCCAGATACTTCACCACCCAGCTGTTCCCTCAAGGCCACCAGCTTCAGTTACTTGGACAGAAGCCCTTCCGTGTGCAAGAGAGAGGACCAGAAGGAGACAGTCCAAGGCGCAGCCCAGGATGTAGAGGGCGTGGCTGTGTGCCTCCCCCTCGCCCAGAGCACTCCATTCCCAGGGCCAGCGGCTGGCCCACGGAGTGCCTTGCTGACCCGCGCTGGCACCCGTGCCCACAGCCTGGGCATCCGGGAGAAGATTTCAGCATGGGAAGGTCGCCGAGAGGCCCCGCCCAGGATGAGCATGTGCGGCGAGAAGCGAGAGGGCTCGGGGGGCGAGCGGGCAGTCAGTGAGGGCTGCCCCAGCGTGGGCTGTCCCAGCGTGGTGCCTTCCCCCTGCAGCTCGGAAAAGACCTTTGATTTCAAGGGCCTCCGGAGGATGAGCAGGACCTTCTCCGAGTGTTCCTACCCTGAGACCGAGGAGGAGGGAGAGGCACTCCCTTTCCGGGACTCCTTCTACCGGCTGGAGAAGCGGCCAGGCCGGAGTGAGCCCAGTGCCTTTCTCAGGGGGCATGGCAGCAAGAAAGAGAGCTCAGCAGTGCTGAGCCGGATCCAGAAAATTGAACAGGCCCTGAAGGAGCAGCCAGGCCGGGGACTACCCCAGCTCCCCAGCAGCTGCTACAGTGTAGACCGAGGGAGGAGGAAGACTGGAACCTTGGGCACCTTGGAGGAGCCGACAGGGAGCGCGAGTGTGAGCGCTGGCAGCCAGGCAGTAGGAGTGGCTGGAGTTGGGGGGGAGGCGGGCCCACCCCCAGAGAGGGAAGGCAGTGGCTCCACTAAGCCAGGGACCCCTGGAAATAGCCCTGACTCCCAATTGCTGCCATCGAAGAGCTCCCCTGATCCCGCTGTGAACCCTGTCCCTAAACCCAAGCGCACCTTTGAATACGAGGCTGACAAGAATCCCAAGAGTAAGCCAAGCAATGGTCTACCTCCTTCACCCACACCTGCTGCTCCACCCCCCTTACCCTCCACCCCAGCCCCACCAGTCACCCGGAGACCCAAGAAGGATGTGCGTGGTCACCGCAAGTCCCAGAGCAGGTAATGCACGCCCCCTGTGTCTTACAGGCAGACACAGTGGCTTTCTTTTAAATGGAGGGTACAAAAGGAAGCTGTAACGTGGGGCATGGTCAGTGGTGCTCTGTAAACTCTGAAGCACTGAAGAATTGCTCGGCGGCAGTTGTGGTCTTGAAGAATGAGGTGGCTTCTCTTGCTCTTATGGGATACTTGTGCAGGAATGGGAGGGTGAAAGCACTTCTCCCCAGTGCTTTGTACTGAAGATGTTGGCTGGGTTCGGCCCCTCGAGTGAAGCTGGGCCAGGTCTCAAGCCCCATTGGAGCTTCCTCAGTCCTTCATGGGAAGGTCAGAGCGGCCTCACTTCCAGATAGAACAAGTGGATGCCTGAGGACTATGGTCTTAGCCTCGCTGCTGCCCGAAGTGCCAGCAGCAGACATAGATTTCTTTGTAGTGCTAGCGCATTTCACATGATTTCCTCACTCCTGAGGGCCTCCTGGCTATATAGGAACACTGGGCCTATATCAGAAGGGGACAGTTGGATCCTGAAAGGGAGATCAATAGAAAAAGAAGTGAAAGAACATTTTGTCTACTTCATGGCCACGTCCAAGAACAGCCTGTTTTGAGGCTCACTCACCTTGGTTTCCTGGTCAGTCTTGGCATTCTTATGCCAGGGCTGTCTCCTCAGAGTGGCTTGGGAGCTGGAGCTTCTAGAATTGATGGAGGTTGACAGGGTCTCTGAATTGGGGTAGGCTGGCAGCCACCTGTCTTTGAAAGACCTGTCCTACCTCCTTGCCTCTTTCCCCTCTAACCCAGTCACTTGGGCATTCTGGGGAGTTTCCAGTCTATACCCATACTTCAGGCTGTGTCCAGCATGTCTCGTCTCACGTATGAAACTTCTGCCCTCTGCAGAGAGAAAGAATCACAGAGGTACAGACACCCTTAGCTGGAACAGCCCTTGGCTAAGGGTAGTCCCATATTTAGCGCACCCCAAAATGCTCACTGGCTCTTGAAATCTTTAACATCCTGTCAAGAGTGTTTGCTTTGTCCTCTTCACCCATCTCTGTAAACACTTACCCAGAGCATGCTGTGCACCAAGCCCTGTGCTGGGCAGAAGGACACAGAGGCAAATGAGACACGATGTTTCTTCCATTCAAGGACTTTGCGGCTGTCTGGTGCACAAATAAATCATAGACCCTGTGATACATGCCATGACCCATGTCAGTGCAGGGCGCTGCAGAGACCCAGAGGAAAGGCATCTGACTTAGGCTGGGGAGCGAGGGAAGGCTCCTCACAGAGGGAGCTGCCGAGCTAAATATAGAAGAGTAACAGCATTAAGCGAGGCGGCAAAGGGGAGCAGAGGGAGAGTTCACCAACCTGAAGGTTTTATACGTGTTCTCACACACGTTACATTCATAATAATATATACACACAGATCCCGTATATGGTGAAGTCATTTCATATAAGAACTAGCTTAGCAAATTCACATCTGGGCTCTTGAGAAAAAAAGCAGCAGTTGCAAAGTGCGGGCTCTTCCGTTTGCCTTTCTGCGCGGTGAACATGTTCTCCTGAGGAATGCAAGCTGGTAAGTTTGTATCTGTATCTGCTGTGCCAGCTGTGGCTCTTATAGTTCATATACTGTTTTTATTTTTAAAAACGCAGGCCAAGTTGGGTTTTGTTTGTTTATTTTTCTGGTATTCAACTAAAGAGAAAGAAGTCTGTTAAAAAATCTGGGGGAAGAAACTGACTTTATTAGTCCTAAGATACAGGACGTTGGTCCTCAACATGGTACCTTCCTGGGGGATTTTCAAGGACAGTCTGATGAGGTGATCTCGTCTTATTGCTGACTTGGAAATACCTGCGTAAGATGTTGACTCTTCTGTATATGCCGATGAAAACTTGGTCTCATGCCAGCAGTGGATGGGCCAACCTGTGGGAGCCACCGTGCCCAGCCTCTGGCTGTTTAGTTGAGAAGTCAGGGCCAAAGACAGAAATTTGGGAGTTACCAAGGTACCAATGGCAGATATGGTAACGCCCCATGGATATTCAAACCTTGGAAAGGACACAAGAGTCCTCAAGACAGAACTCTGAAAGACCCTGGCATTTAAGAGGCAAATGGAAAAAGACAGTCCCTCACAGGAGCTTGACAAACAGCTGCCGGGGAAGCAGTAGGGCACGCAAGGGAGTGTGTCACAGAGGCGAAGGGAAGGGAAGAGAGCCAATGAGAAGAGTGCTGAGTAGGGCAGAGGGCCGGCAGGTGAGGAGCAAGCTGTGCCTTAGGATACTGTCAGTTCTTGACTTGCACTCCAGGAGATGTTCAGTAAACAAGAAGAAAGGTCTTTACTCGCTGAAAGGTCTGATGGGACGCAATAGAAGAGGGAGGTGTTTGTGAGTGAGAGGAGGGATTCGGTCAGTGAGGTTCCTCCTCTCCCTCCCTCAGACTCTGTTGGGGCTTGTTTTGGAGAGGGAGGAGATGCAGCTGCAGTCACATCTTAGAGGGAAAGGAGTAGACAGTGCTGTGGGCTCAGGGTGTTTGAGGAATAAGCCACTGTGGTCCTGCGACCCTCCAGCAGAGGGAAGAACTGTTGGGGGAAAGAAAGGAGCAGCGACCAGCCGAAGAGAGGCTGGGTCTTGGAAGCTACTTCTGTCTGCAAATTGTCTTCCTAGCTTCTGTCTCAGAAGTGGTTCTGATTTATTTCAAGGCTCATACTTCCTGTTTCAACAAACCACCCAGCCCCAACTGCCTCCCCACATCCCTGTGCATGGAGCGTGGTCCTTTCAGGGTTGAGCCTTACTGCCTGCCCAGTGCAGTAGCAGGAGCCCTTGTTAGGATGCAGATGTAGGTGTGAGACTCCAGAGGCAGGTCAGGTGCTCATCAGTTCTGTGGTAATGCCAGATACTTTTTATTTTATTTTATTTTTTTTGAAGAGATTTTTGCTATTGGGCATGTGAGCTCACTGGAGAGATAGGGACAAGAAAGTGAGAAATCACCCCCAGCAAGAATGGCCATACTACAATCCCTTCCCCTTTGTTCTGTTGGCATTTTGGGCATGCTTGGCATGAATTTCAAACTGTGAGGTCCAAGACTCAAACTGTGGTTGGCCATGTGGGAGTTCAGAGCTTTAACCACTATGCCACCTGCTGGCCTTGCAGGAACTTTTTTTTTTTAATAGAGAGATTTTTGCTATCGGGTGCATGTGCTAGCCAGAGACACAGAGAGAAAGCAAGAAATCACCCCTGGGGGAGGAGGGAATGACCACACAGCAATCCCTTCTCCTCCATTCTCCTCTCAGGATTTTGGGCACATATGCACACATGCCTGGTGTGAGTTTTAAGCAGCTGGGTCTGGGACTCGAACTGTGGTCAACTATGTGGCAGTCCAGCAACATAACCATTATGTCATCTGCTGGTCCCACAGCAGAAACTTCTTAAGGAGGGTATTCTCTAGGACTTGGAGTCTAAGTTTGAGGTTAAAAGCTTAGCTTGGCATTGGACAGCCTGGACGAGTCTGGCCTCTGTCACCTGGTCTACCTGTTTGTCCAGGAGCAGTGCCCAAGACAGCATGGTGAAGATTAATGAGGTAAAACAGTGGAGGTGCATTGGATACAGCTCCTGGCATAGCATGCTTTACACTATGGTCATCATTGTTACTTGATGTGGGTCTTACTGGGGATGCGGGAGAAGCACATTGCAAGTATCTGAACTGAGGCCCTCAGACCATTGATCCCTTCCTTTGGATGGTAAGTTCTGGTTTACCTTGATGCTCTTCTCTGTAGATGGTATTATGAGGAGGTTTCTGGTCTTTGCTGCTGCTTATGACTGTTTCTCAGCAAGGCAGGGGAATCTGGTTCTACTGGAATGACACCTGCTCTTGTTATCCACAGGAAATCTTTTGAGTTTGAGGATGCATCCAGTCTCCAGTCCCTGTACCCCTCTTCTCCCACTGAGAATGGTACTGAGAGCCAACCCAAGTTTGGATCCAAAAGCACTTTAGAAGAGAATGCCTATGAAGACATTGTGGGTAAGTAGTACAGAGCTGGCAGATGGGTCACCCCCCTGGGGCTGCAGAAGTACAGGAAGAGACATTCAAGTTCAGCTTCCTCACTGTGGGCAGATGAGGGCCTGCCTCTAGGAATTCCAGAAATGGGCATCATTTAGCAAAGACAGAGCAGCCTGGCCTTGGAAAGAACTGAAATCCAAAGCCTTTGGGACTACATCATTCCTTTCTTTTATTTTTAGAAGGCTCTTCCTTAGCTGTGTATCCTGAGGCAAATCATGTTAACTTGGGTGAAGACTTTCTCTTGTAGAATGATGATGTAATAATATTAATAACAACAATAGTGGTAATAATACTTCAAAAGGTTATTGTTGGGATTGAACAAGATTGCTGAGATAAGAATAAGATGTTGGCATATTTGGCGCTGGCAGATTTGGCTTCCAGTGAGGGCCTGCTTCCTGGTTCATAGACAGTTGTCTTCTCTCTGTCTCTTCCCATGGTGGAAGGGACAAGGAGCTCTCTGGGGTTCTTTTTTGTAAGAGCACTAATCCATTAGTCAGAGCTCTCATGACCTCATTACTTCCCCAAAACCCCACCTCTGTTTTTATTTTTATCTTTTCCAGATTTTTTTCCTTCCCAGTTTTGCTATAGGTGCACTCACCAAAGACAGGCAGAGAGAAATCACCCCCGCCCCTCGAGGAACAGCCACGCTGCTGCACTCCCTTCTCCTCCATTCTCCCCCCAGGACTTTGGGCATACATGTACCCAGCATGATCCCCAAGCCACCGGGTCCAGGACTTGAACTGCAGACTCAGCCATGTGAGATCCAGCTGCCCTGGCCTCCATGCCACCTGCTGGCCCAAGGCCCCACCTTTTTATACCAGCAGTTGGGTTTCAACATAGAAATTTTCAGGGGGACACAGACATTCAGTCTAGCACAAGCTACCAAGTTTTATAGCCCCGCTTTCATAGGTGCTGGCAGAAAACACAAGTGCTATTGTGAAATACTGGTCTTTGTCCAGATTCCTGGCACACAACTCCTAAAATGCTTAGACTCTTTAAAATGATTAGTCTTTTTGTATGCCAGTGACATGACTGGCAGTTTCTAGGTAACTTCAGGGTGGGGGCTGATCACAGCAAAAATCAAGACAAGATTAGGAGGTTGGAACTTTCTAGCCCCATCCTTCAACCCCGAGTGAGAAGAGAGGGCTGAAGGTTAAGTTGATCACCAAGGGCCAATAATTTAATCAGCCATGTCCATGTAATGAAGCTTTTATAAAAATGCAGAAGGACTGGGTTTGGGGAGCTTCTAGCTAGCTAACATGTGAAAGTTCCTGGAGGATGGTGCTCCCAGAGAAGGAGCTCTCATGGGTGTGCCACGCCTCTTCCCTGTACCAGCCTTATATAGTCATGCATCTGTATTCTTTGTAATATCCTTTATAATAAACTAGCAAACATAAGTAAGTGTTTTCCTGAGTTCTGTGAGCACTCTAGCAATTAGTTGACCCCAAAGGGGGGGTTGTGGGAACCCTGATTTTGAGCCTGTCAGAAGCACAGGTAACAACCTGAGGCTTGCAATTGACATCTGAAGTCATGGGTGGAGCGGTAGTCAGAGAATGAGCCCTCAACCTGTGGATCTGAGGTTGTCTCCAAGTAGTGGATAGTGTCAGAATGCATTGGAATTAGAGGACACCCAGTTGGTGTCTGCTGCAGAACTGGCTGCCTGCGTGGTATTGGGGGAAAGCGCCCACACATCTGTGTTGTTTTGTGAGAGCGTAGTAGGAGTGCCTGAGTTGGTTTGTTCCTACGTTCTCGGATACAAGACCCACAGCAGGCTGCACTTGGTTCTCCTTGCTCGCAAGTCCCCTGGCAGAGGGACTTGTGGAAGAGCCATGGTAGAAGCTGCACACACTGTGGATTTGTGTCCAGCTGTTTGGAGCCCAGAAACCATGTCTTTTCAGGTGTTGCTGAGGAGACATTGTCTTTGTCATTCTGGTCAGGAAACAAATCTGCCTCTGCCCTGGAGGGAGCCTCTTCCAAGGCTGTTTGCTGTGTAAACATCCCTGAAGTCGAGTCTGGAACTGTCAGTTTCTCTTTTTCAGAAGAAGGGCACAGATACAAGATTCCATAGAGAATTGTCTTCTGAGCAGAGGGCACACGGTATTGGAAAGCTTGAGTTATTCTAGCCTGGGTTGGGCTTATTTGGGGCATTCACTTTCATTCTGTCCTCATCCTTTCAGTGGGGGCTCAAGTAAAATGTTTGTCTCCGTGTAGGTCAATGAAGAGAGAAGTGGTGAGCTCATGTGTGACCCTGCCCCCTCTCTCTGCCCTAACTTTCT